GGGTTTAGGGTTTAGGGTAAATTAACCCCCATATCTTTGGTTTTGGGGCGTGATCTTGAGCCTGATCGGACATCTGCATGAGGGCCAAACTGCTAAACAATGCAAAACGAATGCGCAACCATGGAACTCCTGGCAAAGCCTGAACTCCTAATCGGTAGACCAAAACCTAAGTCCCCAAACCCTCCGAAACCATCGCGCATCCTCAAAGAAGGAGTTCGGTATCCATTGTATACAGATAATTTTGGGGCCTTAATAATTAGAATAGGGTCTTGGGGCCCGTTATACTATAATTATAATAAGGAACCCAAAAATAGCACAGGTAATTATTTCGGCCCCTATACTCTCCATTCCGAACTTGAAATCCCTGGACCGTCACGGTTCCTAAACACCAGTGCAGATATGCAGCAGCCACCTCACAGGCTCCCATGGCTGCGGTGAAGCTGTGCTTGTCTGGTGCCAGGGCAGAGCCCTTCCTTGGGCTGCTGGGTGTAGGTGCTGGATTCTACGTGTTTGCGGATTTGAAACTCCAAAACCACCTGACCGAAGGACAGAAGGTATCCCTGTAAACATAAGTCAGGTTGAAAGGCTGTGGAAGACTAGTACATCATCTACTCATCTAACTATGTGTGTCTACGTATCTACCGACCTACCCTTCTATCTACCTGTCTGTCTGCCTATCTACCGTACCTAACTACCTATCTATCTGTCCACCAGCCGGTCTAAACAAAGCTATCTATCCATGCATCTATCTGCCTACCTACCTAACTATCAACCTATCTACCCTTTGATATGTCAATTATGCAGATATGCATAATAAACCTTGCTCAGTCACTAAATGGTTACTGACTCTCTCTAACGTGTTCCGGTCTCCATGGCTTGCTCCGGGTTTGACAGTATGTTTAAATCTTTCGGGGAATCTGCGATTAGGGAAGAATCTTGCGCATGGGAGCTGCCCCAGAGTCTGCCAAACTTGGCACCTTTCAATCGCGAAAAGCAAACGAAACTCAGAATGGGCCTAAATAAATACCTACACTGTTTTTTTTTGTTTTTTTGGTGTTCCTTACCATTATTCTTCTTATTCGTATTATTGTTTTTATCGCTATCATTATTATTGTTATATTATCGTATAATATACCCCAAAACCCTGGCAACAGCATTCCTGAACCCTGACATGAGGAAGACCATCACACCTCGCAGCATTTTCGTAAGCTACCGACGTCGAAACAACTGAACATGTTTGGGGCTTAGGGTTTAGGGTTTAGGAGTCAGCCTGTAAGAAACCTGACACACCCAACACCAAATCCCTAGAGCTCTTAGCCCCCTAAAACCTGAACCTCCCTAAACCCAGACAACCGCAAAGACCCTGCAGTAACCCTTGTCCGGGCTTCAGCCGCGCCAGCAATGCAAAGACTTGCTCCCATTCTCCTCCATGGACTCTGAGCTTGAGGCTTAGGGGTAGTTGTCTAAAGGCTTTGGGGAATCGATGGACTCTTAAAGTTTTGGTTTGACTGTCAGGGTTCTGGCCCAAGGACTGTGAGTTTAGGCAGGCCGCTGTCCGGGCTTTGAAAGAATGCCGCTCATTGCGTGTGGGGCTTCATCGGGGTGTGCTAAGGGTTTCAATGGCTTACGGACGACTCTCCCTTTGATGTCTTCTGGTCGTGCTACCATCACCAATTGCTTACCAGCGGCTTAAGTCTAGCCAGACCTCTAACCCTTCATGCTGCTCAATGATTAGAATAGGGTTTTGGGGCCCACTATACTATAGTGATAATAAGACGCGTCCCCAAAACTAATATAGGCAACTAATCTTATAAACGCCCTATAATAATAAGGAACCCCAAAAAACAAGATAGGTAATTATTCTTATAAGAGCCCCTACAAAACGCCCAAACCTTCCCTAACCTGAAACCCTAAACCCTAAAAGGTCCCTACCAAAAAAAAGCCCAAACCTTCCCTAAAACCGAAACCCGAAACCCTAAAAGGTCCCTGCAAAAAAAGCCCAAACCTTCCACGCCAAAAAACTGCGTTGGCATCCTTCGGCCCCGGCGGCCCGCATGGCAGCATTCCAACCTCAAGTTGCCGCGCGGATGCTTTGGCTTGGGGGATTTAGGGCTTAGGGCGTTGGGTTTAGGGCTTAAGGCTTAGGGCTTAGGGTTTAGGGTTTAGGGTGTAGGGCTTAGGGCTTAGAGCTTAGTGTTTAGGGTTTAGGGCTTAGGGTTTAGGGCTTAGGGTTTAAGGCTTCGGGTTTAGGGCTTCCGGTTTAGGGTTTAGGGCTTCGGGCTTAGTGAGGGTTTATGACTTAGGGCTTGGGGTTTAGAATGTCGGGTTTACGGCAAGGGTTGGGGGTTTTGTGGTTCAGGGTAATAAGTTAGGGCCTTAGAGCCTTTGGGTTAAGGGCTGGGGGGGGCGAGGATTTTGAAGAGCTCAGGGGGCCTATGGCTCGGGGTCAGGATTCACGTTAAGGGATTCTGAATTTCAAGCTTTCAGTGTTGGTTTAGGGTTTAGGGTTCAGGGTTTAGGGTTTAGGAGAGAATCGCCTACGCTGGGGTCGTGAACCCTGGACAATCTTCTGAGATGCCGACTGCGAATGTCCGGCCTCGCGTGGCCGCGGCAAGTCGCAGATTTGGAAAGGTGCAGGAGGAGGCAACTACAAGTATGCTTGAAACTACCTGTAGCACAAACCCCTAAGCACTAAACCCTAAACCCTAGCCCAAACTACAATACTGATACCTGGGTGGTTGTCAAAATTATGGTCCCTTGTCGGGTCCGTGATATAATACGGCACCTAATATTTAGGGTACCCAAAAAAGGACCCTAATTTTGACAACCACCCACCTGGTAAGCTTACTTGGTAAGTCCCCCGAAAAGGAGGGATGCTGCAGCGGCCGGGCCGGCATGGCTGCGCTGACGATTGTGGAGGGTACTCGGATTTTGGTAACAAGCAACCCTAAACCCTAAACCCTAAAGCCTAAACCCTAAACCATAGAAAAACCTAAACCCTAAAGCCTAAACCCTAAGAAGGAAGTCTGGGGGTTACATGATCTCAGGTTGCACAGCCACCCAGGGGCCCGTCATCACAGCAACAAAGGAGCGGCTTGGGGCTTAGGGCTCAGGGGGTTTAGGACGTCATCACACCTAAGGCCATGAAAGATCAACCGGCCAAGCCAGAAAGCATTTTACCCGGAGGGAATGTACCTTAAATCGAAAAAGGGGCTTCATAAATATCATGACTGAATTAAGCTATCTTCCTTAACTTCAGGGTATGGGGCTCTCAGGGTACGCCGACCCTACTACTGGAGCGGTGGAAGTACCGGCGCCTCAGCTTCCGCATCTCCATGGATTCCCTGAGTTCGGGGCATGAGCTTTCAATCACTCTTTGGGTTCAGGGTTTAGGGTTCTTGGGGGGTGAGAAATTAAAGTGCCCCAGAAATCCACACGGGTAGTTACGTTCTCTAACATTAGGGTCCGTTCTTAGGTTCCGAAAAATAGCACGGCACCCTTGTAAACAGGACCCTAAGCTAGAGAACTACCCACATTCGGATTTGGAAACTCGAGCTTCGACATGAGTCAACGAGTCTTCAACTCACCTGCTACGATTCACGGGCGGGGCCTCGATAATTAGGAAGGTTGGTGGTGATCCCTGTGCTTAGGGGTCAGACATCCTAGAATTCTGGCTCTGACAACTCTCCGAATCTGATCCTCTCAGGTTTGGAACAGCTCTTTGGACACGGCATTCCTGCTCCTGCTGCTGCGACTGCTCCCGCTATCGCTACAGCGACGGCTGCTGCTGCTGCTGCTGCTGCTGCTGCCACTGCACCACCTCGCATAATCCATAACCCTGAACCCTACACCCACACCCGTAATCCGACTTGCAAGCCGAGATCCTACTTATTTTGCGGTCCTCCCGGCCCCATCTCAACGTCCGGGGGTGAATCCTAAACTCGAATTGAGTGGTAGGGTTACTTATCGGGCTTAAGGCTTACGGCTTATATGCTTTAGGGCATATATGGTGTTTACCCATAGACCCCCTAGTAGTTGATTTTTGTGGCTTATATTTAGGATCCTACTAAGGAGTCCCAAAAGGAACTACGATGTGGCCTATGGGTTTTGGGTATGCCCCCCCGAAAAAACGCCCTGAACTGCAGTGCAACCCGGGCACAGGAGCGCCAGAGCGATTTGACCCTGACCTGCAGCCATGTGCATGATAGAAGGGTAATGTAGGGGCCTTAATAGTTAGAATAGGGTTTTGGGACCCGTTATACTATACTTATAATAAGGAACCCCCCAAAATAGTATAGATACTTATTGAGGCCCCTATAGTATGTTTTGAAACCCTGGAGAAGGGGTGTCACAGAGAGTAGTTTAGGGCTTAGCGTTCAGGGGTTTAGGGTTTAGGGTCTGAATGAACCTGCTCTCTAGAGCGGCATGAATATATTATCGCATAGTTGTCGCAAGGATGGTGCTGCCGCTGAGTTGGGCCCTTAAGTTGGGGGGTGGGACGGTGCTGCAAATAACCCATAAGCTCCTCCCTCAAGAATGTACGCAAGGGCCTTCATCAAGCGAAATGTGAAGAAGGGCTCAAGGTCTAATTTAAGGCTTGGAGGTTTGCTATAGGAGGGCACAGCTTACCTCCCCCTACCCCTCAATCCATCCCTAGACTCTACAAACCTTAGTTGGAGGCCCAGGGGACGTAGTAAGTAGCTTATAAGTAGAATTATGAGTACCCTAACTGGAGTTACCCCTACTTATAGCCGAGTTACTAAGTCCACTGGGACTCCAAGTACCCCTAGCCTTCAGCCAGAGCCCCGCCGTGAACTTCCTGGGAGGCCCGACCATCCGCCGCGACGGCATCCAAAGCTGAGTTCAGACCTTACTTGCAGCTTCCGTTGGTTCTGCCAGGCGCTCTGGTTACTGTAATAGTAGGTTACTAGTTACTAGCCATATGATATGTAATTCAGTAACCCATTCTTAACTTAGGTAAGTGGTTAGTTCTCTAAATTGGGATCCCTTTTGGGGTCCTTGTTTATAAGGTTGCCGTACCGTATTGGGGACCTACAAAAGGGACCCCAACTTAGAGAACTACCTAACTGGAGTCCCAGGGTACTTGGAGTGCCGGGGGACTTAGTAAGTAGTTATCTCATAGAGTCATAAGTGTCATAACCCCAATTAGGATCCCTATTAGGGTACTTATAAGTCTACTTAATACCCACTTACCAAGTCCCAACCCTAAACCCTAAACCCTAAACCCTAAACCCTAAACCCTAAACCCTAAACTTTTGGTGGTAGCGCTGGGTTCGGCGTTCTCGGGGCCAGCTGTTGTGCGATTTAAGACTTCAGGGCTTCGGTCTGCTTAAACTTCAACGGTTTAAGGATTAGGGTTTAGGGTTAGGGTTAATGGTTAAGGGTGTTAGGGTTTAGGGTTTAGGGTTTAAGAGGGGTTAAGGGTTTAGGGTTTTAGGATT